GTTTCGGGCTTACCAGATTGAATGAAGTATCCAAAGAATCATTTCCTGGTGCTTGCTGAACTAAATTTGAGGTTGTGGGAGCCACTGGATCTACATTGTTTGCTGAAGAATTTAAGGCACTGCCGGTGGCCATTTGAGGATCAGGCGATATTATTGTTGAAGGAACTGCCAGTGTTTCTTGTGGGATAACTGCAACAGACGGCGTGGGAGTTATATCAGCTTCGGGTTCCGTTTCAGCGTTCAATTCGATTTCAGTGGCCTCTGCAGCAATGAAGTCGTCTTCGGTAAAAACGTGTGGATTGTAAGGTGAAATTCCACATGTTTTAAAAGCATTTATTGCAGTTGACATTGTCGCTGCCCGAATAAATGCTTGCCCAAAGAGTTCAGCCACTTGAAGTTGGGAAACTACTTTCCCAAGATTTGATCTCAACCATGCTGTTAGAGCCTGATCATAAAAGATACTCAAGGGCCGCATAAAACCAACATCAGCTGGCTGTAGTTTGTGAGTAGTGTGTGGTGGGAAGCATATTATTGTCACGCCATGTTCACGTGCGTTATCAACTAATTGCAAATTTTGGGTGTGAGAGGCATGACCATGTAAAATCAGCATAACTGGGTTTGTTTTAGAAGCATTGGTGAGTTTCACAAACTTCTGAAACCATCGTAAGAAAATATCTGCAGTGATCCACCCAGAATCTGAACATTCTGCCCATGAATTTGGTGGGGCTCCATTTAGCAGTTCGGGCTTCATACGTTTTCTAGGATATATAAACATAGGAGGAAGGTATGTCCCTGCAGCGTTAAAACAAATTTCAATAGTAATAGTTGTACCTCGTTCCGCCGATGTCAAGGCTCCCACTTGCTTTTTACCTGTTGCTGCAATCACTTTGGATCGTGATTTTGGCACCACTGAAATACCTGTCTCGTCACAATTATAAATCCTATCTGGAGTAAAAGGGTTATCATCAAGTGCTTTTCCAAGCAGTTCGAAGTATTTACCAACAGACACTCTATTAAACCCAGCAGCACGAGCCGCAGACGTGTTTTCTGGCTTGCGTAAACTCAAGTCAGGATGACGGTGCAGAAATCCACGCAGCCAGTCTTTACCGGCCTTTTCCTTGAGTTCATTAAATTTATGCTGTTTGTTGTTACGGACTGCTAACTCATAGGCTAACTTCTGTAATTCGGATGTTGACAACCCAAACAATCTTCCTTCCATTTCCTTTAATTAAGTTACAAGGATTTGTTCTTCTTCTTCTGAAAAAACTGTTGTAATCGGACCCAACGGAACTTTGACATTTAGTATATTATTCTCTCTTTTTCTGGCCTGGTTAACTTTACGCTCGAGTGTTGTTTGAGGGACATTATAAATCTTGCTGGCTGATTTATAACCATTTTTTCCATCTAAAACTGCTTGAATGGCTAATTTCATTTGTTTTTCACTCCACCCTCCTCTATTAGTACGTCTCTTATAATCTCGAACCATACTCTATAAAAGAAACAATTAAATTAACTCAACTAAAAATGTTAAAACAGGAACCAGTCAGCGGGTTAGATGGGGTACCAACCCCGTCTTGCCCGCAATTAGGTACCCCATCTTTCCCAAACTGGACTTATAAGTTGTACAAAAAAATTTGAGGTTATAAATCACAACAAACCGGAACGAATTAATGAGTATATAACAGTTAAACAAACACACACCAATAAAAAAATATGTTTCACATCTCACATATAATTAACTATAAACAGTCACGCACTTTATGTGAGTCAATAATTAGATGAAACCACATCCATAAGTACATTTTTTATATTTTAAATATAAAAAATGTACTTACCAAGTAGAAACGTGCACTCCTCCGATCGAACTTGTAGCGACACTGACTAGTTATTGGTTTCAACGCCATCTAACTCTGTTTAGTAGTCTAAACAGAGTGCAGCAGGCTATCACCGTCACAGTTTCTCCCTTTTCTGTCGAAGTTATTGTAGCTACGGCTTTACTTCTTTTCTTAGCTAGAACTGCCCTAGGACGGTTATTCAGTTGAAGACCAGTTTCATCCATATTTAAGATTTTAGAAGGCTTATTAAACAATTCGTTATCGTGATTGAGATCGGCGGTGTCGAGAAGATGAACGATTCCGACTTCTAGATCGCTCTGGTCGGGAAAATTCATTGACCTTCTGAGTTAGCACTTCTACGTGTTTCATGAGCTCAGCCATTTGTTTACATAAGGTAGGTATATCACTTACTTGTGTATACGACGATGTCGTCGCAATTTGACCTTTCGGTACGAAATTGTGGATCCTATCTGCAAGATCTGCTAGTACCTCAAGAGGCGATGACGATTGCGACGCTATTACCGACTGGATGTTGGTAGGTAATCGACTCGACCATATCGTACGTAAACGCGCCTGAGAAATTGCGATGGTTTTCTATCGCCTAACTTCTCGTGGGTCAGGAGTTGGTGCACTTTCTTCTCTCTCGACTCGGAGAGCCGCTTGATAAGCTCCGTTTTTGGTCGACCATATTTTTCGGTCGCTGGTGGGTTCACGATTATATCTTCCACCTCCGTCGCATATCGAGGTGGCTGACAACGTAATACAATTTAGTAGTGTCCGCAGTAATATTTGAAATCGCGAACTGTCCTAATATTTGCGCGAACCAAATCGCGGGCTTCTCTGGCCAAAATGGCGGAACGCGCACGCCGACACGGAAAATGTCTTTTGAATTCGTTGAAACGGTTTTCGTATTATTCTCGGACTCGCACATTTTGGAAATCACGTATAGCACTTTTGTACACACCCTTTGCTATACCTACATATTAATCTGTCACCAGTGTTACGGTACAAAATTGGATGAACATTATTTTTCCATAAAGTAACCAGCTTTTGAAGTAAATTATGGGTATAAGCACTATCATAATGCACTGAAAGAATATCCACCTTTTGGTTTTCTTCAAATTTGCTATCTGCAACACAGAAATAGCATTTTTCATACGAGTTGCATGTATTTGTAATTGCACCTGTGCATTAAATTTTTCTGTTATTACTCCATTTTTTATATAGTTATCTTTAGTTTTAGTCTGAGTGGGGCATTTTATTTCAATGACAACATCCTTTGTTAGGCCATCAGGAGATGCTGCAATCATGGGATTCTCATTACCTACATATGTAAAGTCCACATATACTTATTTTTTTGTCCAATATGGTAGCAACTCTCTTTCGGACTGCCTTTTCTAAAGTTCTTCCTCTTTTCATCGCTAGTGTATCTGGTATTTTTGCACCCATCACAGTGGCAATCAATAACCCTTCTGCTGTCCGGCAAACACTTACGACAACCAAGTAAATATACTATTTCTCCATTATTATGAAGATTTTCGAGGTGCGATTTCAATTTTGAGTTTAAAAACAAATCTATCATGGGTCAACAAAAGTCACGCCCAAATAAATAATATTGAAATCATTAACCTGGAATAAGTAAAAGTACCTAATTATTGATATATTAAGGTCGATTCCCAGGTCGGGCAAAGTATTAAGAAGTAAGTTAAAAATCACAGTAGTACGGAGTCTGGAAATGTGCCCGGCATATGGCAATAGGCTCACCCCCTATTACATGGGACTCATAACATAAATAGTTAAAAGTGGGTGTTACATTGTACACTAGCATTAAGTGCCGAAATGTGCACCTCTGCCTATCCCTTCGGGGATAAAAAGGCGTGATGTTATAATGTAAGTAATCCACCTTGTATTTACAATAATGTTATTATTTATATTATATTAATAGTTTAATATTACAGATCAAATGCTTCAATGAAAACATTTCTAGCATGGTAACGATTTCGACAATAAAATCTTTCCTCGTACTGTTGATTATAGGACGTGTCATGGACACTGGGGTACCATCAATGCATCCTAAAACCCATCCTGGGATTCCGAATTTCTCCTAAAACCTGTAATAATTATTTAGATTAAAAAAATCAATTGGAAATGTGAGATACTTTTGATACTTACTTAGACCTGACGACTTGTCGATCATTGTGGCTTTGGGGAAACTTAATATATTTTTGAACTGTTTCTATTGTTTTGAGCATTTATTACATCGTGGATGGTCCTAGAGGAAGAAGGCTGTGATATGTATGTATCTACATTCTTGCCTAAGATATTTTGATAACTAACAAAAATGTTACAGTGCACAATATCTAAAACATAATGAATTAACTCGTCGAGTACCGGTTTTACAGACACAATTAAAGAACAATAGGTCGCGGTCACCGGTGACCGCTCGGTGTTTGACAGTTTAATTAGAATATTAATGTGTGAAGTTAGCCATATACATATCTCTGTAACTGGAGATCTACATAATTAGAAACATACCTTCAATCTCTTAGTTTAACCACCTGAACGAGCTGGAGTATGAATGTATGGAGTCTAATCGTTCTCTAATATATTTATTTGTGATTATTTTTATTTTATTGTACTGAACAGTCGAAATAATAAATTTTTGATTAAGGACGCGTTTACGAATTGACGCGCTTCAATTTTAGGTATTGAGTCTTACTACTACACGTGCATGTCACACACACACAGCGAAATGCGCGAAGCGGCGAAATTATGTGTAAACTGACACGACTTGATACTTGAGTTATTTTTATTTAATTTTGCAATGTTTTTTTTAAGTTAACTTTGATTTGGTTTGTAACGTGAAATGGTTACAAAAGTATATTATATGTATACTTTTGTAACCATTTTCATTAGTAATCATAATGGTACATATAGGTACCATTAACCTAATTTCATTGATTTCATGGATGGACAGTTTTTTTTTTTTTTCTAGTTTGAGCTCGTTTTGTTAGTTATGTTGAGACCTTACCTCCGGACTTGATGGAGTGACCTGCAGGTGTACTTCGAAGACTGCTACTGGAACTAATAGACGAGTGGAGCTAGGTGTGCCGAGTTTGGGCTCGTTTTGTTAGTTATGTTGAGACCTTACCTCCGGACTTGATGGAGTGACCTGCAGGTGTACTTCGAAGACTGCTACTGGAACTAATAGACGAGTGGAGCTAGGTGTGCCGAGTTTGGGCTCGTTTTGTTAGTTATGTTGAGAGTTTGCCTCTTACTTGGAGTGACCCGTTTTTTATGGCGGAAAAATTATCTAATGACAACCCCTAAAAAAACAACTACACAGTGAAAAATAACTTTTCAAGTAGTTTTTTTTTTCTTGTAAAATTTCTTAGGTACCTACCTATTATATAGGGTGATGGGTAATTAGTGTACAATACTTAAACACGTGATTGTGCTCATGATAACAAACAACTTTTTCTATGGGAACAAACTTGAAATCGCGAAAAAAAAATCAGCTGTTCAGTATATTTATATTTGCCTAATGTACTGAGCAGCTGACATTAATTACCCATCACCCTATATATGTATAATTTTGTTTTAGTATCAAATGAAAGTGGGTTCCCAAAACTACAAAATACGTTTATTTGGTACACAAATACTTTTAAAGTGCCAGTATACTGAAACATTAATCTTCTATGTATATAAAAATCAATGCCACTTTTCGTTGTAAATTTATAACTCAAGAACGGGCTCACCAATCCAAACCAAGTGTTTAGGCTTTGTTTGAGGAGTAGGGTAGTGTGGAATAGGGTAGAGAAAAACAAGAAACTTTTTTTTATAAATTTTTATTTTTCAATATATTATTATGACAATGGGATGAATGTTCCCGTAGTTCCATGTTTCTTTTGAATCTTGGATCGATCAATTCGGGAAGGAGACAGTTCTTATAGAATCGAATTAAGTGTGTTTCCATATTCTCCTTCCAGAATTGATCGTCCTTGGCTATAAATTCATATTTAATTTTTCCAGGGCCCGTCCAAATAGCAAAGACACAAGTCTTTTCCCCTGTAATTCGTAGCTGACCTTGAATTTGGAAATACCACTTATGATTCGTGTTCACAACTAATTGGTTCGAATTCGAAGAGTATTTCCAAAAGTCTACTTTTTTTGTCGTATCGCTTCTTCTGGGTCCATTCCATATGCTGATGACGGGCATTTGATTTCGACTATACCGTGTTCACACTTTCCATCAGGACTTGCACCGAGAAAAGAAATTTCTTTATCAATCGACAACCCACATTGCAAAATGTTCGTTTGTAACACTTGTTCAAGATCGCGTAGTGCGGTGTACTCATTGTCTTTACCATGTTTGATGGATGGTACATTACCCAAATCTTTTCCATATAAAATTTGTTTCACTAATGGTGCACAATTGGAGCTTGGGCGCCGTTTACATACTGTAGAAAACAGTGAAGCTGTGAGTAATTTCCTTCTGGTTTCCAACCATACAGGACTAGCACTTTGTAAAATTGTGTCTTGTTCGATCTTGTCTTTTTCTTCAGGAGTTATTTCTAATCTTAACAAAAATTCTCTTTTAGCTGTTGCATATTGTTTATCATCCATGTCAACTTTTTGGCACTCTTCGCCATAATGAACGTCCTTGTTAGTCGTAGGCTTGATAACCTTTCGCTTTTTGATCCTTTTTTCCATTATTTTCACGTTTAATTTTTGACGAATGGTTTCTAATCGGACTATCTCATGGTTTGCTTCAGTGCCAAAAATATATTTATGAACAGTTGACTGTAAGGCCCCCGAATTTATAATATAACAGCGGCGGCACAGCGGCCAGCATATGATCGCCGTTGCGAAAAATTTACCCTTTTTCCGCCAACAAATTTCGCTACTCTGGCATTAGAGCTCTCCACCAAATTGTTCGTTTCGTTGTGTACGAAGCTATAAGCATGGAACGACAAACGATGAGCCAAATCTTCAATTTTTTGGAACACTCCATTTGCTTTCAGTTCTGGCACCATATTTTCGGTACGTTTTTTTATTTCATCGTTACAGAAATATGATGCACATTTTGAATGATCTCCAAAAATGTGATAAGGACCATTATTTATGTCATCTTTTATATTTTTCATTTTCTCGGAAAACGGAATACTTTGCTTGACCCAATATTTGACGCTACTATCTACTCCCCATCGTATCCGCAAATAATTGTCTTTTAATATCTTTCGGGCTCGTATGGGATAAGTAGTGTTGCTCGCTATTGATAAAAGCCCTTTGCAATAGTTTCTGAGTAAATGATTTTTGCACTCAACTTTAGCCACAGTGACACTTTCATATGGCCTAGAATTTCGGATACTAGCATATGTGCTTGAATCACCATCTGCTACATACTGATTATAAATGAGTCCATGTCTTTCTATAGATTCTTTGAAACCCTCTGTTATGATTAATGCTTCCATTGCAGTAGAAGGCCCTTGAAAATTTTTAAAACACCTATGTTTCGGTGGTTGTACTCCTTTTAAATGTGCTCGGGAACAGATGATACACGTCTTGTTTTTTACTCCATAGTAAAGAACTTTCTTAGAAAATAATCCTACAATAGCACCAACTCCAGAAGACGCACTGTAATTCGTTCCATACGAACGTTTGGACCAACATGCATCACCCGATACAGGTATCATTGGTATTCCACTTTCATTTACGCTTCCGATAGATAGAGCATGATTCTTCTCTTCCTTACCAGCTTCTGCCATACAGTGCTGTGCAGTTTTGTGCCACCATCCACAAATTATATCATGTTTGCCTTGATACAATCGTACTGACATAGGTGGTATATTTATATGACAAAGAACCGTATTTAGCTGTGTAACTCCGGCACCAATACTCATAATACCGGCCACAATTTCCTCATTCACATCCATTTTATTTGCCGAATACTCGGAAGATTTTAATACAAACTCTTTGCTGCACATTCGGCATTTCATATGAAAAGTTGAGTTAAGTCCAGTCCTTTTTTCATTTAACATTTCAACAGTACCTAAATTACAACTAAACATGGAATTATGGTTACTGATTTCTTGAAGCTGTTTCATAAAATAACCTATTTCTACAACTCTTCTTCCTGAAACCTGGAACGGTTCTGTTTCCTCATAGTTCGTTTCCTATAAACAAAATAGAAAAAAATTACTTGTTATTTTTTAAACAAATCATATATCAGTAATTTAAAATTCATTAAAAAAACTTACGTAAGATATTTCCATACTGTTTTTATCAGAAGTACTACAACTTTGTTGGTCGGTTCTTTCCGGATGCACTTCGGATGTATCATCACGACTACCGTCATCGTTTTGCCTGTGAAAAAAATAAGAAAAAAGATCTTATGACATTAAATAATTTCAATCATTTATGTATTTTTAATAATCATATAAGTACTAACCGAAATCTTTTTTCTAAGTTACGTCTACAGGCGTAAACTTTCTTCCGCGAGCTTTTCCCGAACGTCTTAGGCTTTGGCATCTAAAAAAAAAAAAAATATTGAAATAGCAGAATATATACTCGTCTATTAGTTCCAGTAGCAGTCTTCGAAGTACACCTGTAGGTCACTCCATCAAGTCCGGAGGTAAGGTCTCAACATAACTAACAAAACGAGCCCAAACTCGGCACACCTAGCTCCACTCGTCTATTAGTTCCAGTAGCAGTCTTCGAAGTACACCTGCAGGTCACTCCATCAAGTCCGGAGGTAAGGTCTCAACATAACTAACAAAACGAGCCCAAACTCGGCACACCTAGCTCCACTCGTCTATTAGTTCCAGTAGCAGTCTTCGAAGTACACCTGCAGGTCACTCCATCAAGTCCGGAGGTAAGGTCTCAACATAACTAACAAAACGAGCCCAAACTCGGCACATCTAGCTCCACTCGTCTATTAGTTCCAGTAGCAGTCTTCGAAGTACACCTGCAGGTCACTCCATCAAGTCCGGAGGTAAGGTCTCAACATAACTAACAAAACGAGCCCAAACTCGGCACACCTAGATCCACTCGTCTATTAGTTCCAGTAGCAGTCTTCGAAGTACACCTGCAGGTCACTCCATCAAGTCCGGAGGTAAGGTCTCAACATAACTAACAAAACGAGCCCAAACTCGGCACACCTAGCTCCACTCGTCTATTAGTTCCAGTAGCAGTCTTCGAAGTACACCTGCAGGTCACTCCATCAAGTCCGGAGGTAAGGTCTCAACATAACTAACAAAACGAGCCCAAACTCGGCACATCTAGCTCCACTCGTCTATTAGTTCCAGTAGCAGTCTTCGAAGTACACCTGCAGGTCACTCCATCAAGTCCAAAACTAAATATGAAATCTATATTCCTATAAGTATATGAAACTGTGTATAAAATCTTACCTTGGTTGTCTGTAGTCGGTGCAGAATGCGTGAAGTATCAAGTTTGGTAGGGCAAATATTTTGTGTTCGTACAGCGATATTTTCGTAAACGAGGAGCTGCTTACAAGCGACACAGTGTCCACTCACGACGGCGCCCGAGCGCAAACTAAAATTTCATTACAAATTTTTGTGCAATAAATCAAGTCTAGTGACCAGGAAAATAACCCTTATTTCAATCCAATAAGTATCTTTCGTTACGGCTAATAATGTGTAAAAAAGATTCGATTTTACTTTTGTTTTCAGCCTATTTGTAACATTTTGATAGATTTTTTTTCTACCTTTTTGAGTTGGACATATCTGCTTACGTAAAATATTTTTAAATAATTATATTTGTGTTATTAAATAAAAGAAAAATGATCCTCAAGTCAGCACGATTTCGTCAATTTTGTGTGAAGAGGCAACAGAAATTATTTTTTACAATATTATAAACCAAAATTATCAAATAAAAAACTACTACCATTTGAAGATTAAGAAGTAATCTATCTGTGGTCATTTTTAGTTACATTTGATTCTATATTATTTTGCCGCAAAAACCACCGAAAAACTGCTTATTTTTGTTAGATTCGTAAACGCGTCCTTAAGGAAAGTACCCAAATGCTTATAAAATCTTCCAACGTGGTTAATGATACCTCAAATAAATCTGAGATTTAGTAGAAGGGGGTATTATTATTAATTTTGTACAAAGTTACTATCTATTATATCAAAGGATTTTACTTTTAAATTACATTCTAAATAGTTAATTAACCAGTAAAAATTCTTTGGTAAGCCTATATAATTTTGATGTTTTTTTTAATAAGGTCAAGCTTAAAGTTTCTCCGGGTCTGTATTATAGTTTTAGTGTGTGGATTGTGATGTGGATTTCTGATGAGACTTCAGACATTTCAACGGAGGTAAACCTTCCTTGTGTTACAAGGAAGTTACAACAACAGTTATTCCATGTCATCATCTTCTTCAAATGAAGGCTTCTTCGTTTTCTTTTTGTAAATGGCACAAAAAGATGTTCTATCCGATGTTCTTGGTTTCATTTGCTCCTTTGCTGGCTTTTGTAGATAATGGATTTTCACAAAGTGAATGAAATGATGAGTAAGCTGTAGACGTGCTGGGTCTCAGTTCATTAAGTTATTGATAAACAGTTGAAATTGATATCCTCACAAGAGATCGTGGTAACCGAGACTTCAATTTTGGCCGCACTTCATAGTTGTCCTGTATCTACGGGTAGTTCTCCACATCTTCCTCCAACTAAATGATAAATTATAATTAAAATTTGTATTTTATATCTGTGCCAAATAAAAACAACCTACCTACATAATAAATCTAGAAATCATTATGTTATCAAAATTTTACACATACCTGTCTTTGTTAGATGTATGTACTTATTAGATGTGGTAACAGTTATGATAATATTGCTCAATATTCAAATAGGTCATGAAATAAAATTTAGGACAAGATAAATACCACATACATAATGCATTGTTAGCAGGTGTATAAAAAATGTTGTCATTTATAGTCGTATTTCTAATTAGGCGAAGGTAACTGACGCTTTGTTTTTAAGGGGTATTGTAATTAAACGATTTTAATATTAATTATCTAGTTTTATTGAACAGAACAAATCTACATTACAGCAGTGATGGCGCAGAGAAAAAGTAAAACAAAAACAACCTGTCATCTATCATTATATGGAACGCGCCAATTTCAAATTACTATAACACTCTCTCCAAATTGCAGCGTTCCTCAATCTAACTAACAGTTAAACAAGTAATAGTAACAAACAAAAATAAGTAGTTACTTTATACACACATACTATTACTGAACAAAGTCAGAGCCAAGTTTTATAAAGTTTTATAAGTATAGTTACATCTTACAAATACCTAATTTATTTCTTAGATATTGAAATTTACTTTTAGCTAAGGGTTTAGTAAATATATCAGCCCTTTGCTCAATACTACTTATATACTTTAGATCAATTTCTTTAGTTTCATATTTCTCTTTAACAAATATTTAATATCTATGTGTTTACATCGTTTATGATAATTATCATTTTTTATGACAGAAATTGCACTTTGATTATCAATGTTAAGTTTTACAGAATCCTGATTATATTCATCTATATCTAACAAAAGTCTCTTTAACCAAATAACTTCTTTTGTAGCACTACAGGCAGCCATAAACTCCGCTTCAGTTGTAGATAGTGCTATAGTTTGCTGACGTTGACTGGCCCAAGTAACAGCAGCACCATTCTTAATGAACACATATCGTGTCATTGACCTTCTTGTTTCAATATCATTAGCGTAGTCAGAATCACAATAACATTCTAGTATACTGTCGTGTGAAGGAGTATAGTACAGACCATAATCACTAGTTTCTTTCAGATACTTCATTATTCGTTTTACTGCATTCCAGTGACTACTATCGTAACCATCCAGATATCGGCTGACTAAGCTAACCGCAAACATTATGTCAGGCCTGCTGACTATAGCTAGATGCATCAATGAGCCTACAGCCTCTCTGTATGGAATGTTTCTATCCAGCTGTGATGTATTATTTTCTAATTTAATACCTGTCACTACTGGTGTACTGTTTCCATTGGCATTAATCATATTAAATTTATTCAGCAATTTCTGTACATAGGTACTCTGATGTAGAAATATGTATTTTTCTCCTTTTTCAATTTCAAGGCCAATAAAGTTTTTAGGTTCACACACTTATATTTCAAAATTTTCCTTTAAATCATCAATAACTTTGTTTAAGACACTTTTATCCTTAGAAATAATTAGTCCATCATCCACATACAGTATCAGGTACACTTTACTACCATTAAACTGACCAAAATAGATACACTTATCTGAGTGACTATTGGTGAAACCAAATTTCTTTAACACTGAATCAAATTTTTGATTCCAGCACCTGGGTGCTTGTTTTAACCCATATAAGGACCTTTTAAGTTTACAAACATGCCCTTCAGGTACATATACGCCATCTGGTGGATTCATATAGATATCTTCGGTTATACTTCCATAGAGGAAAGCAGTTTTAACATCAAACTGTATGATTTGCAAGTTATCCTGACACACTTTAGAAAGCAATACTCTTACAGAGTCATACCTCCTGACAGTTGGTGAAAATGTCTCTGTATAATCAACCTGGTGTTTCTGTGAGCATCTCATGGCACATAGTCTTGATTTATACAGGGGTCCTGATGGTGTATCTTTCACTTTGAAAACCCACTTACTGCCAATAGTTTTCATTCCATCTGGCTTCTTCACCAACTCCCATGTTTCATTCTTATTGTGTGCTTGCAACTCTTCTTCTATAGACTTTTTCCACTTCTCTTTATCCAGTGATGACAGAACCTCCCGGTAAGTCATTGGTGTCTCATTATCTTCGTGTTCTCCATCTTGACAGAGGTAAGTATTAGTTTCATGTTTTCTGTTTCCTACTTTATTTCTTATCTATCCTAGGTAGGTCTTTCTTTATTTTTACACTGTAATACTATTATCCTAATATCTAAATATACACTACACTAGACTAATTTACTATTTATTTACAATTACACAGTACACACGAAATTAATGCAAAGCAAATTTCATTTCGCGTAGGTACACGCTTCGATCAACAAGACGAATACGAATAAAAAAAAACCAAAATAAAATACGACTCTCAAAATGGCTACTGTTTTCTAGTAAATGGCGGTGTTTACTGTGTGTGCACGTTTCCTAGAAAGACCATTACATTTTCTAGAAAAACGTAGCCATTTGAGTGACGTATTTTTGTTCCATATCAAGTCGTATGGTTGATCAAAGCGAAAACTTCAGTTTATTATTAACCTTAAGGCTTAAACGTAAAATTTAATTTAATCTTTACAAAAATATTTATTTAAGTCCTTTTTTTAGAGAAAGGGTTGTATCGCTATTGAAGGAAAGTTACGTGATTGTGGCAATTAAAACGCGTGTGAAATATGTTAAGATATTGGTTTATTCTGATAAAGGTAGAAACAAGTAACAATATTTATAACAATGACGTGAGGAGAGGGAAGTACAGTGGCGCCAACAAACATTAACAGGGCAAACTAAAACTGGTTGCGTTCCATTACTCTAACACCCTCCCTTGGAACGCAACCCCATTTTCATTACTCAGTACAAATGCTTTTCCTTTAGCTGTAGTACCTTTAGTTAAACTATCAGCTATCATTTTCTCTCCTTTTATATACAGTTTCCAATGATGTATTCACTAAGTCCTTCAATAAACCCACTTTTCTAGCTAGACCCTTGTCACCAAATGCCTTTTGCAGATTATTCCATACTTCTTTTGCAGTTAAGCAATCTTGAACGTGTATGTAGTTCTGAGAATCTATTAATAATATAATTTTATGTATGTACCTATTAAGAGGCTTGTCTTTAGTACCGCCTGGCTCAATGCATGTCCATAAATCTTCATGTTCTAAGTATGATTTCATGGTGAATTTCCATGTCGCGTAATTATCACGACCAGTTAACTTCTCGATACTAAAAATATTTGAGGACATTGTCGTATTTTCTGATAGATTCCAATTTTACAACCGGTACCGGTGGCGTGGGCAATAATGGCGGGAAGTAACCAAAGAGCGGCAGTCTTCACTTAATACGAAAAACTTCCGTTTGCCTGAACTATTACTATAATTTATTGAGAACCACGCTCTGCTTCCATGAAGGAAAATGTGGTTCTAAAGTAAAACTGTGTAATAGTTTACAAATAAGTTTATTTCTGAGATCAAATATATCAATCAAACAGTATCATTCAGACGTACGGTAGACTACCATAGATAAAAAAAAACATATCTCAATACGTATAAAGACAGCGCCACTAGTGGCGAGAATATGAACTAGTTTGCGTTCTATTTTCATTTCAATATTTTAACAGGTATTTAACTCTGTCATGCGGTCTAGTTGCAATACTGTATGATAATATTAGGTGTCGCGTCGTCGACTCGTCGGAAGTTGTCTACGCATTGAAGTAGACCGTCAACCGGTCTATTGGACCAGTCCGTTTATTCAACGCCCACCGCTAGTACTAACCCTATATGTGCTTCTTGTAGCTTTCTGTTTTACACAACAAAACTGTAGAATGATCTGTTGTCGGCGCATTTCCGACCCGATATGACCTTCAAACCTTCAAGAAAAGAGCGTATTCCTTTTCAAAAGGCCGGCAACACACCTGTGTCCACGCGCTGTGTCCTGTGGCGACGCTGATCGCCTACCATCAGGTGATCCGTCTGCTCGTTTGCCTCCTATTCCATAAAAAAATACCTAATAAAGGACGTAAATGGAACGCTTCCGAAAACTCAGGCAAATTATTTTCGTTGTTTTTGGTTTCGTGTTTCATGCAACATCAGCCTTGAGCAGTTGATTACAACTATTATTATATAAAAGTTTTTACCATCACCTGGGGGCTTACTCTTGAATCCAATTCCGATCGATCGACATTGGTCTTGTGAAATTTCGTACTCTTGAGTTGCGACACTAGCGCCCCTTGCATCCGTTTTGTGTGGATAATTAATAAACTAAATGGTATTTAGTTTGGCTTTATATTCCGTACTCTGAATGCTATTTTAATAGCTACGATAAGGGTTGTATAGTGTTGACATTGAATAATTATTGAGATTTTATTGGATTGAAATTCCATTGACATTGAGATGGTTTCAAGAGTAAGCACCCTGGTTGCATTTCGGAAGCTTTCCGTTTATACCCTACATTATAGAATATTGTTATGAAAAATGTCATGCATTCTTTGATGAAGTCGCGGAGAACCTAACGGGTTACCGGGGCTCCGGCTCGACGTGCAGGAGAAGGAACGGGGTGGTTTTTAGTCAGTAAGAATCTGAAACTCCCGAATGGTTTTTAGTCAGTAAGAATCGAATGACTCTGTCATTCGATGATTTTCCCCCCTTAAAAAAATCTTTGATGAACGTATTACATTTTATTATTTCTTAAAACCTCTTTCGTCATTCTTATACAATTTATAATAAAGTTCCCAGAAAGACAACCTTTGGTGAAATATTCGATATTTTAGTGTGATTGGTTGATCCAATACCAAATATGGCCGCCGTGTTGATCCGGGTTCAGTCGGCTCCCATCGCGTAGTAATGAGATCTGTTGAAGATGGCGTTGGATCTCTGGAAGTTAAAGTAATTTATTGAAAGATACAATACAATATCCGAATCCTAAAGTAATATAGTGGTGAATTACAGAGCAATAAAATATATCAAGACATTTTCGGAAGGAGGGAATAAACCGGAGCGGAAACCTCTTTAAAGCACCAGCAATGCGGACTGACTCTTCGGTTAGAGTTGACTTTCTTCGTATTTTTGCTCCTGACAATTACTGTCGCAACCAGAAATTTAACTTTATCCTACACGTTCAAATTGTTACATTTAAACATATTACGTGGGTGCTAATAACTCTGGTCAATAGGTCTAAAATTAAAATGTCGGAGCAATACCTACTTCAGGAGATTAGCGCGTTTGAACAAACAGTCTTCAGTTCAATCTAACATTAAGTACAGAATAATTAATGAATACTGTCATAAGTCATTCCAGTCCATTCATTTCATTCCAGAGGCATACCCCTGGTGTTACCACTGCCTTAGCTGAGGGGGTTACTCCTGCCTTAGCAGAGGTATACATTATGCCACTGTACAATGTAACACCCACTTTTCACTATTTATGTTATAAGTCCCATGTAATAGGGGGGTGAGCCTATTGCCATATACCGGGCACAATTCCACAATGCTACTACTGTGAATTTTTTTGAAAAACCCGGTAATACTTTGCCCGACCCGGCAATCGAATCCGAGACCCCTCGCCCGGCAGTCGAACTTGTGACCACTCTGCCAATGAGGCAGTAAACAGTAGTAACATAATATATTATAAGGTAAAAACTTAAAATCAAGCGTTTATGCAGCGTATACCTATTATTAACATGTACAACATTTGTCCGCGCGATCATTTGTGTGTATTTATATAGAACTAGCTTTTACCCGCGGCTTCGCTCGCGTCACAAAAGGATAAAAAGTAGCCTATGTGACATATACCAATACACACAGCGCCATCTATACCAATAATTTCGTTTTCCCTCGAGAATATCAAATTTTTCCGGGATAAAAAGTACCCTATTATTTAATCCGGACTTTTAACTTCACATCTGCAAAAATTCAAAGCAATCGGTTTAGTAGTTACGGCATGAAAGTGGAACAAACAAACAAACTCACTTTCCGATTTATAATATTAGTAAGGATTTATCAATATATAATTTTCCATAATATTTACCCATATTTCGCAAAATTAGTCCACATTGTAGTCATGACATCAATCATTTTCTGGTCATCTTTATTGGGCACTTCACCCTTAAATGTATCCATCTCGAACAAATATCCTATATCGTCGCCGTGACACGCTCCAGGTGCAGTGAAATTACCCAACAATTTATTTTTATTCCTACCACCTTCGTAAGCAAACAAGTATCGGTATACTTTATTTGCATTGACCTTCAAATATCTGTTAACGGATCTCTCTGTGGGGTAGGCGAAAACGAAATCTGTTCCGAAATCAAAGATATTGTTTTGTGATTCCAAGCTTAACACCTGATCACCTGTGTAAAAATGTCGTACATTATCCTCATCGAAAACAACGTTAAAACCTTGTTCTAGTTCTTCTGCAAACCTGTAATTCTCATAGTACTCTTTGTTATCTTTCGGATATATAAACATAACTTCCTTATTTGTGTGGCCGATCATAATATCCATCCCTTCAACTTGGGGCTGTAGGTTGACTGGGAAATCTGTTAAGTACGCATCGTCACCTACTGTTTCTACACATGGTTTAGTTAATGGATGTGCGTTGGAAATCCCTGTATCTACACCTGCTTTTATGATATCCATTGGTTCCTTATCGGCAAGATAATCTAGTGCTTCATGTACATCATCACCAGAATATCCTAGTTTACTGGCCAAATTTACAGGTATACTATCATTACGTTTGCCTATAACCCACGTTGTCAATGCCGTACCACTTTGAATAATTACTCTATGGACTAAATCTTTATTAGTCAACAGTTGCAGGTCTAAGGTCATGGCTCCCGCTGACTGGCCAAAAGCTGTAATTTTGGAAGTGTCTCCTCCAAATGCGTCAATGTTGTCTTTAACCCATTTCAACGCCAAGATCTGGTCCTTCAAACCTTGGTTGCTGTAGCCAGGTGCACTCACACAGAGGAAGCCGTATGGTCCTAGTCTGTAGTTTATTGAGACAATGATGACGTCATTTCTAATAAGGAACTTAGGCGATAGATTTACCATCATTTTGCTACCTCGTATGAAGGATCCTCCGTGGATGAAGACCATGACAGGTATCTTGTTGCTGAAGTTGGCGTTGTTTGGTACGTAAATGTTTAGTTGTAAGCATTGCATGGTACCTAAAAGTGCACCACTTCTGCTGGTCTGAGGACACGCGACACTATCATCAAATGCTTCGTAAGTTTCATTGAATCCAGGATGAGGTAAGGCCGCCTGAAAATGTTAAACGATAATATTATAGTTGTTAGCTGTACCATGGTAAGTATGGTTTCTAGTGCAAGTTTGTTCACCGACTCGATCACGTTAAATTAATTAACTAATGGGCATGTACCAGCAATGGCGCTATATAAGCCAACTGTTACCGTCCTGTACCGATCCCCATTCAAGTCGTAGTTAACGTGATCCATGTTTTTGTAATAACTATCGTGAGACATACTAAATTAACTAAAAATCGCAGGTTACTCACGTGAATATACTGATAAAAGCTCTACTAGTTTCGACGTCAGTGAGCTGCGCGACGTCGCCGCGACCGCGCACGCTGCTCATGAGGAACTCATGTAGAACTTTTCTCAGTATATTCACGTGAGTAACCCGCGATTTTAGTTACTCACGTGAATATACTGAGAAAACCACTAGTAGTTTCGAACCACAGAGGGGTTCTTCCTCATAAGCAGCGCGCGCGGTCGCTTGTGCTTCTCAACCCCTTGCGCGGCAGTCGCACTTGCGACCACTCGGCCCACAAAGCAGTCAATTAGGTAGAAATTATAAGGAAAATTTTGCTTACGATGTTTTCCTTCACCGTATATCAATGGTGTCTAAATAATCTTAGAAAGTCTACTTTGCCGTTGGTAAGTTTCAAACTCGCGCCCTCATGCATGAGAAGCAGGCGTCTTAAACCTCCGAGTCACCGCGACATTTTCTTACCTCCTTACGAAATAACTTGGGTGACTGTAGGTACACATGACCACACATCAACCTATACAAAACCAGTTTACCCTGGTATCGCGTCGCATCATCTTTCCGCACATTTAACGTTCAGTTTATACTGGTTATGTAAAGCTCGATGTGTAGCCGTGTGTACATCCGTATGACAACAGATATTAATAAGAAATGGTGAGCTCACACTATATTGACTTATGTACCATTGAAGCAAGTTTTTCGGGCGATAATGATAATCATGATAATTGTATTTGAACAGTCCTACCGAGGAAATACCCGCGTTTAAGTTTTTATACTATATTTTACGTACGTATTCTACACAATGGTTTGATTTGAATCATGGTTTTTTTTCATCCAAGTATTAGTCAAGTGTCCACTACTTTTCAATTTAATAAATTGTAAGATTTTAAACTGCCTCGTTGGCCGAGTGGTCGCAAGTGCGACTGCCGGGCAAGGGGTCTCGGGTTCGATTCCCGGGTCGGGCAAAGTATTTCTGGGTTTTTAAAAAACCTCAGTAGTAGCACGGGGTCTGGAAATGTGCCCGGTATATGACAATAGGCTGAACCCCTATTACATGGGACTCATAACATAAACAGTGAAAAGTAGGTGTGACATTGTACAGTGGCATTAAGTGCTGTAATGTGCACCTCTGTCTACCCCTCCGGGGATAAAAGGCGTGATGTTATGTGTAAGATTTTATTTATAAACATAACCTTTTGCTCTGTATGGATAAGCAGAGTTGCACAATTTTTATTTTACTTTACAAAAGTGTTGAGGCTTATAAGACTAATAATATCAGCTTATCATAAATTGTAAATGTAATAACAAAAAACAAACTTTATCATTCACGTAGCTGCGTATGAATCTCATAGATAGTATTAGAAATAAGATATAGATTGGAAATACTAAGATCTAACAGCCTGCCGCATATTTTTTGTATAAACTATGGTACAAGGTCAACTATTTATAGTACCTAAGTGTGATTTTCATAATCATCGGATCTGAATCACTAGCAATATTCAAAGATAGATAGATTTGAAACAAGAAAAATGTTTATTGTGACCATGTAGTACACAGACAACATCACGCCTTTTACCTCCGAAGAGGTAGGCAGAGGTATAAATTATACCACTGTACAATGTAACACCCACTTTTCACCATTTATGTAATAGGGGGTGAGCCTATTGCCATATACCGGAATTCCAGACCCCGTGCTACTACTGATTTAAAAAAAAACATGTGGTGCTTTGCCCGACCCGAAAATCTAACCCGAGACTCCTTGCCCGGCAGTCGCACTTGCGACCACTCGGCCAACGTAATAAAAACCAAACCAAAACCAACTTTCGTAATAAAAAATCTATTTTACTAAAATTATTTTTAATATGCGCACTGCATTCTACAGGTCATGTTATATCGATATTGCTTCACTGAGTTATCCTAAAAGTATTTACTTAGCTCACAATGCAAAACAAATACAATGATGATTACATACATTGATAATACAATGAAAATAGAATGATAATGGCAGAAGTGTCTATCCGTGGGGTCGATATTAGATATGATATGCTTGTTATCAATATATAATCGCCATTTTTCTGGTAGATTGCGTACACTACAACTACAGCTAATAAACAGTCACAGAGTAACAGAAAAGTAAATAACTAAATCACAAACTGTCTTAGACAGCCATTCGATGATTTTCCCTCCTTAAAAAAAATCCTTGTAAACTTTGGCATTTTTATAATATTGGCCACCGGTGGCCGCTCTCCACTAACTACATTATAGACCTTATTTCCGATGTTTAGAGACTACTTTTGTTTGAACAAATTTAGGGGATAATATTTCAACAGGTTAGTAGGAAGTAGGTTATAGTATTTTTTTTAAGTGGGGAAAATCATCGAATGACTGTTCCCGCCTGGGTGAGGCGGGAGTCTCTTACTCTTACCGACTAAAAATCACCCCGTTCCTACTCCTGTACTTCGAGCCGGAGCTCCGGTAAACCGTTAGGTTCTTCGCGGAAAGTACGATATATTATAAGATTAATATTACAGACTCGAAGAGAATTTGTAAGTATGTATAAGAAACCCTTTCACGCAAAGACTTCTTAATGAAACTGAAGATTTATTCTGGTATAGAATCACACATGGACTATTGTTTGTCCTGGCAACGCGGGCGGAGTCACTAGCAAAGTATAGTAACCATAAAAAGTTCTACTCACTAATATTTTCCTTGCATTTCGTACAAAATTCTTCATTACAATTTCAACTTTATTATTTCGATACTAAGTCCAAAACCCAATAAAATATTGGCATGGATGGCCTGGAGTTGACCACTTTACAATTAAGAATAAATAAAAAGACTTACCCCAAATGGATTGCTTTCATCTACCAGGGCGTAAGGTACTCCCAAAAACATAAAATAGCCATCTTTCGCCTGTAACCCTTTAATTGTTCCCTTTTTCGTGATCACAATAGGATCCGATCCTTCAATATATAAACATTTTATTAACACCAAAAGTAATATTATTTTGTACATTATGTCGAGTTGTTTATTTTAGTATTAAGCGTGCTTCCTCGCAAACACTTTGGGAATGACTGATTCAATGTCGTTAAGTACTGAAAAACATTTGTTTTAAATATAGCGTCATAAAAAACGTCTACAAAAAGTATTATTTAGAGTTGAACGTTTACGTGGCGCGGGTTTTCATATAAACTTGCAAGTTTCCATGGGGACTACTGAACTGATTTTAATGGAACTGGTTATCTATCATACGCAAAAGGTCTGAAAACTTAGTTTAAATCATTTAAAAATAACTTTTTTTTAAGTTTATATGAAAACTTAAAATTGTCTATTTAAATGATTTTTGAAAATATTTTGACCAACTTTTTTGACCTTGATATACTAGTATGTTCTATACATAACCAATATAAGTAGGTTGTAATTGGGGTTTCTGGATCAGGTCAGATCCAGAAACACCCAATTACAACCACCATTCATTCATTATTTTTCAATTATTCAGTTTCAGTCATTCCTAAGCATGTATTCAAGCATTTTGTGCTAACTTTTTTATTCAAAAGAATGATCTAGTAGTGACTCCTATATTCATATATATATCTATTCATTCAATATGCATTTTTATGTTCAATTTGTTTTCATATTATTAAATTAGTACGTTCATTCAACAACATTTGACACTCGTATCAAATTCGAGCAATACTCGATTCGATACGATAGCCTAACGTAAATGGAATGCGCTTGCTATTATCATTTGCGCTGCCTTATATAGGTACCCACGTAGTGCAGTAACTATAAAGTACATTTATAAGAATGAGGTAGCAAGAAAATAAAAATACGTATGTTAATTTCAATTATTTTATTTTAAAGTAAAATATACAAGTTTTAATATTTCATAGTCGATGCCTATTCATTAAAGTACCAGATACACATACTTATATTTTAAAGAATAAAACACTTATATATACGTAGTTATTACATAGTTGATTTTATTGTGTCTACACAATCAATACACAAATCTCTACTCTTGCTTTCAAAATCTTATACTCTTGGTTCGATGTCATCCTGAATTTTGGTAATTAATTCTTTCGTACTGGTGTATATATCATCATATAATATAGTTTTTTACGACATTTGAACGCATACATTAGCCTCACAATTACACATCGGCTGTTCCGATTTTTGAAAACTGTCTACGTCGTAGATTTCTATTTTGATAATTTTTACCCCGCGAGTTACAGGCTTCTTAATATATTGAAAGAATGTTTGATCTGTTTTTGATCTCTTGCGAGCAAGACCCAGCGTCTTCTGCCCAGTGGTTTGTTGGACTGGTTGATTCATGGGTACGAAATTGAATAGATCCTCCGAGTCCTGAAATAACAATGCAATATATAATTTAATATAAGTAGATACACAACAAATGTTAAGATTGGAATAAAGGATTGTGTGGAAATACTATATTCAGTAATGCTAATAACGTTGTTAATATCTACAATATTTAAATTGTTAGAGAATAATTATTATATTAAAGTAACACTTACCGACATTCCACAATTTTAACACTTCACCATCCGATGCAAAAAATGAAATGAGTTTCAATTTGTTATACTCCCCTATATATATTTTTTTATTTAATATTTTTTTTAATACATAGAGTTCAAAATCGTATATTTTATGTCACATGTTAATATGTACACAAATATGGTATGGTGAAACTGAAACCTCAGACATTCAGACGCCCATTATTTTTATTGTTTATCATAAATATATATCGATAAGATAATACTACTGTCCATGTGTTCATGGTGATCGTTTTCATACATTTTATTCAGTTGATTTGACGGGCAATATCATGGTATGTTAATAGTATATCAACGTTAATGAATTCGCAACGTAAGTTGAATTCTAAAGGAGACGGATCATGACAAAGATCAATATTGACATACAACTATTATGGCCTGGTTTTACTTAGAATAAAATAAAGTTATATTTTTTTGTTATAGACTATTTTTTAAAATAGTCTATGCTGGAATGAAACACAAGATTTACTTTAATTTAATGTAGGTACCTACTTAGGTGAGCATCAACATGTTTTATGTTTTCAAGCAATATCGTATTGACTCGGTTAGAAAAAAACTGTGTGAAAATGGTTTCATAAAAATAAAATTACAAAGACAACACCATCCTTTGTTGATGCAGTCGGGTAAAAAAATATCATAGTAAGCTAAATTAGTGTTAGATTATAATATTGAAGACAATGTAAACTATCGTATTTGGGATGAGTTATCTGACACAGCATTTTTTTCACACGTGCCCTTTTCTATATTTGGTATACTATGACGTAGATTTATCACTATTTAAGAGGATAGCTGCTGAACTAAGACCACAAAGCATTTCTTCAAGAGCTACAAGCAAGAGCTGCCCTCATCAGTACCTACCTGGAAGCTTACCAGACCTTCTCTAAAATGTAAGTTATTTTGGTTTACATATTTATCTAATTTTAATATTTATTCATTTCAACTATTCAGTAACTGTTCTATTTAATCATTAAACTTTTCAATAACTCTACTATTCAATCATTCTATTTTTTAACTATTAAGTTTTAATAAGCAATCTGTTATTTATCTATTATGATATTACTACTTGCACTTTGATGTTAAACATTCCACTTAAATATTTTCAACCAATATGTAGCTACTTATATAGCTTTATCGTTAAGTTACTGCTATCACTTACTTGTTAACCTTTATTTTTCAGGTCCAAGCAAATGGCTGACCAATTGTTCCCGTCATCTGATGAATCGGTGGTTGACGCTTCAAAAAAATCGAGCAAGAAGAAGCGAAAGATTCCTGAGAAGACGACAGACAACCAGCCTTCTACTTCAAAGAAGACGAAGGCGAAATCTACAGCGCGAGATCTCTTCGGTAGCGATAGCGATGATGATGAACTGGATCGTCGCACCGCTGATGGTAAAAAAATTGCACCTATTTACTCCTACATAACAAGGAGATTAGCGAATGGTTTCTCGCGACAAATAGATGAAGCTAAAACTGGGGGTTATTATATTGAATTGAAAATATATAATACCGATGAAATTGAGCGGGTGCCCCCAGTCAATCGATGGCGGCATTCCGTTATAACTATTAAAAATAAAACCAATACGGAGACTGAGTCCTGGAAGCTTCTAAATGCATTTATAAAGGAAACGAGAAAAGAATTTAAAAATCGCACTCCTACTTTTATAAGCTCGTATCAGTAGAATATGTGCCTAAGACTATCTCGATGTATTCCCCAGTAAATGTATAATCTTTATTTTTTCTTTTTATAAAAACTAAACTGTATTTGAATTAAGCCTATATTATCTTTTAACTGTATACTGTATTGATTAAGTACTTAGGATAATTGTGTATGTTCAATGTAGCTTATTGAGATTAATTAAATGTATGCATATTATATCTATTCTTTTTTATGTTTTATTTTCAGTGAAATCATCTTCCACCGTTTCACCGTCAAGATCTTATATAAATTGTGATAAATGTAAAATTGAGATACCTAGACATGAATACAGATATCATAAACGAACTAATATCCATAAATCGAATTGTTTGATAAAATCAGAGTTTGAACATATTGATATAATAGCTACAGCATTTAAAAATAGAATAATGACTTATCGCTTAAACCCATCCATAGAAGACGAGTACCTCCTACCAGAGGCGTTCTTGGATGGTAAGCGAGATGATGTTTTTAAACTAGTTGAGCTATCATTAATAAAGAATACATGTATTAAAGTTAACTTTGAGCTGTTTGCTTATTTCATTTTACCTAAATCAGGTGAGCAACAGCTGAAGTCGTTTAATACAAAATATGAAGTTATTTATAAAAGTACTGATTTTGATGAAATTTATTTGAATGTAAGAGAGACTTTCAAGATGAAATTAACTGAATTTGAGCACTGTGAATCTGGGTGGTCTTTAACATCGTTGAGTCATTTAGAAATAAATATAAATAAGTATTCTCCTATGAGAGGTGGATCTTACATAGAATTACCAGAAGTTATTAAGAAAACAAAGAGCTGTATTAATATACAAAATAACGATGAATATTGTTTTTTATGGAGCATATTAGCAGCATTATTTCCAGTCAAAAATAATGTCTGTAGGACAAGCTCTTATCCTCATTTTAGTACGATATTTAATATAACAGGGATGTCATTCCCGCTATCACCTAAAGATATCAGATTATTTGAAAATAATAACAGTGATTTAAGTATTAATATTTATGGATTGGATAAACATTTCAATGTAACTGGCCCCCTATATACGACAAATTTTAGGAGAGATAAACATATTAATTTATTGTATTACGAAAAAGAAAACAGAGCTCATTATTGTTTAATAAAAAACCTATTACGCTTAGTGAGACGTCAAGTTTCAAAACATAAAGGTCGAATGTATTTATGTGAGACATGTTTGCAATTTTTTACTAGTGAAACAAAATTCCATTCTCATGCATGTTCTAAAATTATAACTTTATTACCAGATAAAAACAGTATGCTGCAATTTAAACATTTTGAGAGACAACAAAAAATTAACTTTGTTATATATGCTGATTTTGAAAGCCTATTATGCAATTTTAATGAAGTGAATACTGAAAAAAATAAAAATACTATAAAAAATAAGTTACACCAGCCTTCATGTTTTGCATACTATGTGTGTTGCTCACATGACTGTAATTTAAATAAATTTGTTTCTTACCGAGGACCAGACTGTGTACAAGTTTTTGTAAAAAAAATCATTGAAGAAACTAAATCGATACATGAGATCTTGACTACTAAAAAAACCATGAAACCAATGACTCCAGAACAAATTGATAATTATCGCAGCGCAAGCACATGTCATATTTGTAAAAAAATATTATTTGATGACAAAGTTCGAGATCATGATCATATTACATCAGAGTATAGAGGCGCAGCACATTCACACTGTAATTTAATTTATAGAGTTTGTCCATTTATACCAGTCGTATTTCATAATCTATCCGGTTATGATTCCCATTTGTTTATCAGAGAATTAGCGAAATATGATGGCGAAATAAAAATAATTCCTAAGACAAAAGAAAAGTATTTAAGTATTACAAAAAATATTGAAACCAGCAAATATAATAAGCCATTGCAGATTAAATTCATAGATTCTTTTCAGTTTCTTAACACAAGTCTTGATAATTTAAGTAAAAGCTTAGAAAGCAGTGATTTCTTGAATTTGAGATCAGTTTTTCCTGATGACGAAAAATTTTGTTTAATTCGAAGGAAAGGTGTTTATCCATACGAATATATAGATTCATGGCAGAAATATAATGAGACACAACTTCCCCCGAAACATTGTTTTTATAATAGTATTCAAAAGGAACATATAACAGATAGCGAGTATGAACATGCACAAACTATTTGGAGTTGCTTTAATATTAACAGTCTTGGCGACTATACTGATTTATATTTAAAGTGTGATGTTTTATTATTATGTGATATTTTTGAAAATTTTAGAAATATATGTCTACAGCATTATAATCTTGATCCTGCATATTATATAAGTTCTCCTGGTTTAAGTTGGGATGCTATGCTTCTTTACACGGGTATTCAACTGGAATTGATTCATGATTTAGAAATGTATAATATGATAGAAAAAGGAATTCGCGGTGGATTAGCACAATGCTCTCATCGATATGCTAAAGCAAACAATATTTACCTCCCTCATTTTGATGATTCAAAACCGTCAACATATTTAGTATATCTTGACTGCAACAATCTTTATGGACATGCTATGACTAGAAAATTACCTATATCAGATTTTAAATTTATGACAAGCCAGGAAATAGTAAGTTTTCGTCTGTTCGATATTCCTGACGATGCTGAGTACGGTTATATTTTGGAAGTAGATCTAATGTATCCTGAATATTTACATAATTTACATAGCGACCTGCCTTTCGCTCCAGAAAAATTCATACCCATAGGAGGAAAGACAGAAAAGTTAATTGCGAATTTGTATGACAAGTATAACTATGTTATACATTACATTCATTTGAAAGAATGTATTAAAAATGGCCTTGTGATGAAAAAAATCCATCGCATACTTCAATTTAAACAAGAAAACTTTTTAAAAAAGTATATAGACTTAAATACTCAATTGCGTCAATCAGCAAAGACCTCTTTTGAAAAGGATTTCTTTAAACTTTTGAACAATTCAGTATTTGGAAAAACTATAGAAAATAAACGAAAGCAAATTCATGTTAGATTGGTGACTAAATGGAATGATAATAAAAATAGAACAAATAAAACAATAGGCGCAGAGAAACTAATTGCAAAACCAAACTTGAAAAGTATTTGTATTTTTAGTGAAGATTTTATAGCAATTCAATTGACTCCCGACAAACTTGTTTTAGATAGACCTATCTATGTTGGATTGTCTGTACTAGAATATGCTAAACAACATATGTATAATTTTCATTATGATTTCATTAAAAATAAATACGGTGACAATGTTAAACTGTGTTACACTGACACTGACAGCTTATTATACTTAATACATACACAAAACTTTTATAAGGATTTGAATGAAAACATTATAAAGTTTGATACCAGCAATTTTGATTTTAATAATCCTTACAGTATTCCAAAGATAAATAATAAAATTCCTGGCTTGTTTAAAGATGAATTAGGTGGCGATGTGATAAGCGAATTTACAGGTTTAAGAGCAAAACTTTATTGTATTAAATCAATAAAAACACAGATTAACAAAGCTAAAGGAGTATCAAGGCCCATTACAAAAAAATTGAAAATATCTAACTATAAGCGAGTTTTATTCAAGAATATTACTTTACAATGTAAGATGAATATGATAAAGTCAAGCAAACATGTTCTGTATTCACAGGAAGTAAATAAAGTAATTTTAAATAGAGTAGATGATAAAAGAATTGTTCAAACTAATCAAATAGACACATTACCATGGGGTCATTGTGACCACATATGTTAGACCGTTATTATTAAGCTATGTCATATATTTAAACTGTTATATTTTAAAATATACCTACTATTAGTATTAGTTTAGTTGTATAATTTATAATTATATTACTTATTTTTTCTTAGCGTAATATAATACATAATATTTTACTCAGAATTTGACTTTTATTTATAGTCTTATCTGTATCACCTTTCCTGTTTTTTAAAAGTAAAATGTAAGACTTTGCAGAGGTATATATTGGTATGCTCAATAGCAATAATATTAATACGTAAGATGAAGTTGATCAAGCAGCCCATATCCTTGAATGTTAATAATATAAATTTTAGTGACTCTCCTCATTACATCAGGCACAGCCCTTTATTACCGAATACAATTCGTTGTATAATATGCGGGCCATCCAACTGTGGTAAAACAAATGTTGTCATCAGTTTATTGCTACATGAAAATGGACTGAAATTTAAAAATTTATATCTTTACTCTAAAACTTATTTTCAACCAAAATATCGCTTTTTGAGCGAAGTGATTAGAAGGGTGCCACAGATAAAATTCTACGAGTTTAACGATGATAAAGATGTCATGGCTCCGAGTGAAGCTTTAAATAATTCTGTTTTTATTTTTGATGACGTTGCAACTGAGAATCAAACAAATATCCGTAATTATTTCTGCATGGGTCGACATAAACAAATCGATTGTTTTTATTTATCTCAAACCTATTCAAAGATTCCGAAGCAATTGTTACGTGATAACGCTAATTTTCTTATAATATTTAAACAAGATGACGTGAACTTAAAACATATTTATGTGGAACATGTCAGCCCTGATTTAAGCTGGAACCAATTTAAAGATATTTGTAAAACAGTTTGGAGTAATCCTTACAGTTTCGTGCTTATTAACAAAGAATGTTCATTAAGTAATGGGAGGTACCGAAAAAATTTTGATATATTTTTTAAATTTAATGAAAGTTAATTACTTAAATAATTATGAATAACATACAAAAAATTAGTAGTCGTTCCTCTTTAAGCGAATACGGTCGTTGAACATAAGATGGAGAAAAATATTAAAATTGAATTAATGAAGTCTGTAGACTCCATAAAGAATAAAATAAAACAAATGAAAAACCAGGAACACTCAATGAATTTGTCACTTGATAAAATGTTTAAACCTGTCACAGATCCCCTTAAAACCCTTGTTGATTCGAATAAAATAATTGAAAAAATACAAAATTTTGAAAATACACACTCTAACTTTGAAGACATGGAATTGGATGGCATTGATACCAGCTCATCTACAAAGTTTGAAGAATGCTGCGATCCAGAACTGAATTCCGCAAAAGACTTGGAAGTGTCATCTAAAAAAGAAAAACTGGATGATCTAGAAATTTCGCTAGATTGCCTTGATATCCATGATATTTATGATGGTGGAAATCTAAATATACCCTTTGGGATAAGGAGTGTAAACAAAATATTGCTAATGGGTAATTCAGTAGTCTCGTTTTCTAAAATCGATAGTTTGAATGACGACAGTGTCATTTTAATTAAAATTGGTGACAAATCCTATAATTTAACTCCTGGCCTGAAAGAACTTTTACTTCGAAAAAAACCAGATTTAAAATTAATTTCGAGTAAAGATAAACTTGTATATAAGGACATGCTGCACTATACCAATGCTCATAAAAGAGATTTTAATCCTAATGGACAAATAAGAGGTGATAAAGGAATAAAATACCGTGATATAATCAAACCAATGTTTTCCAACGACAATAAACTTGCTCACACTAAGCTTGGAGGAAACTTACCAACGCTAAAAAAATACAAGAATAACACTGATTTGATATATTGGGATGACCCTAATGAATTAGTTGAGAGATTGAAAATATTAGTTGCGTCAAGAGATGCTGGCAATACAAACCATGACAATGAAATTTTATCTATAATCGAAGAATTAAAAGAAGCTTACATTATTAAACAATAAATAGTTGTAAAATATACTTTTCATTCAGTACTATAGATGAATTCAAGACAAATATACTGAACTATAAAAATGAGCAAAGCTGATGTGGTAAACGAAATACATAAAAATGCGAGGGTCAACTATCCACGAAGACATGTTATCATGAAAGATATAGATGACTTGTGGCAAGCAGACTTAATTGATATGCAATCAATTTCAAAAGAAAATCAAAATTACAGATTTATTCTAACCGTCATTGATACATTTTCGAAATATGCTTGGGCCTTCCCTCTGAAAAGTAAAACCAAAGATGATGTATGCAAATCCTTCAAAATATTGTTGGCTATGGGGCGTGTACCGAAAAATCTTCAAACGGATAATGGAACAGAATTTTATAATAATAAGTTTCAGAAGCTTATGAAATCTAATCATGTCAACCACTACTCCACTTACTCAACAAAAAAGGCCTCAATAGTTGAACGATTTATCAGAACATTGAAATCTAACCTGCATAAAGAATTTAGTTTAAAAGGTAACTATAATTGGGTTGACAATACCCTTAGTGATGTTATTTATAAATATAATCACACTTACCATCGGACAATTCAAGAAATCCCTGCTAATGTAGATAAGATTAATAAAAAACGTATATTGGAAAGGTTTAATAGGCAAAAGTACATTTATTGCTCATTAAAATCACCGAAAGTTACATTATCCACATTAAACTCTAATACAGATCGGTACAGGAAAGTTCTAGATTAAAAAAATGGCGACGCGACTTAGAGCCGCGGAGGATTCTTCAACACGTCCGTACGCGTCAGTGGTCGGGGCTCTCTCTCCTCCTCCACTCGCACCCCTGCGCTGGCGCGCGGGGTAGCGGGTGGCGGGAAGGGGCGGTCGCGAGCGCGCGCCTATTGGCTTCTAGCGTTACGTTATTACCACAGATATTAATACCATAGACTAGGTTATCTTTATTTTTAAAACCCCCGTTACATCCTCCCCCTCTAGCCTAACTAAGTGTCCCCGCAGTTGGGCTAGTCTAAATATCTACGCGGTCTGCCGCGCTTGCGTTTCTCGCGAACCGGATGTTCTATTTGACCCGCGAAGGGCGTGAGGTGCGAAACGTGATATTTCCCTAAGTCCGACCCGGTTTGTACGCTCTCCAAACCGTAAGTGGTTGGGCTAAAAACTTTCCCTATCTTATACGGGCCATCGCGACGAGGTATAAACTTCGCGGACTGTCCGCGGGCTGCGTCGTTAGGTCCTTGCGTTTTTAACAGAACAAGGTCACCTACCTCGTAATTTGACGATGGCCGTCTCTTCTGGTCAGCGTTCTGCTTCTGACTGGCTTGCGCTTTCTCATGTATATCCCTGGCCTCGTCTAGGGTCGCGGCCAACTTCCGTAGATAGGGCGTAATACTGGGCACGAAGTTGTCATGTTCTATGACGGCTCTCATGTCTACCTTGGGATCAGTAGGGCCCCTCAACTCTCTCCCGAAAGTGAGGTACGCCGGGGAATGTCCCGTGCTACTAGTGATAGCTGAATTCATAGCAAACCTTACTGAGGCGAGATGTAAGTCCCAGGTTGCATGGTCTTGGCCCACAAGTATGGCTAGTTGCGGTTTCAAATCGCGATTCTTCCGCTCTATCGGGTTGGCCTCCGGGTGATAGTAGGGTGTGAGCGACTGGCTGATACCTAGGATGTGACATACCTGTTGCATGACGTCGCTCACGAACTGCACGCCATTATCGCTGATAAGGCGGCGCGGCACTCCATACCTGAGGAAGACCTCCCCGACAAGCGTCCGAGCACATTCGACGCTGGTGGCGCTCTCCAATGGGAATAATTCTACCCAGCGCGAACTGACGTCTTCCACAATCAACACCCACCTGTTTTTCCTAGGAGTCTCTACGAGTGGCCCAAACAGGTCTACTGAGACCACCTCGAAACGTCTTGATACGGCAGGGGTTTGCAGTAAACCTGCAGGTTTGCGATTATTAGCCTTATATCTTTGACAAGGCACGCATTCTTTTATATAGTTGGCGATGAACGTTCGCATGCCGGGCCAATAATACCTAGCACGAACGCGGCTTAAAGTTCTGTCCACACCAAAGTGGCCAGCTGTCGGCGCATCGTGTAGATCAGCCATAACCTGCTTGCGTTCATGTTCAGGGACAACTAGGCAACAGTCTTCTCCGTCGTCAGACTCCAAGCTGTACCTGTACAGGATACCGTCAGATATGGTGTATCCGCGATCAGACCACGGTCTCCCCCTGGAGGGTTCGTCGGATTCCATATCCTCAATAATTTTGCAAACCTCTGGGTCCATCAGCTGATTGCTGCGGATATCACCACTGCTTCTCTTCGGCATATCCACGACGGTCATCCGCAGGTCACACTCATCCTGGTTGCCTTCACAAACTGGTCGCGACAAGGTATCTGCGACCACGTTTGAGCGGCCGGGTGTGTACTCAATGCTGAGATCAAATTCTTGCAGAGTTAAAGCCCATCTGGCCAGTCTACCGCTAGGCGACCTTTGACTCATCAGCCACCGTAAGGGCTGGTGGTCCGTCCTAACGATGACCTTCGCGGTCTCCACATACCCGCGGAACTTGCCAAGTGCCCACACGACAGCGAGTGCCTCTCGCTCGGTCGTGGAATAGTTCCTCTCGGCGCTAGTGAGGAGCCGACTCGCGTATTCGATCGGCCGCTCGTCATGACCCTCCCCCTGCATGAGAACAGCTCCGAGACAATAGGCGCTGCTATCAGTGCAAAGGGTAAAAGGTTTTGATTCGTCCGCCTGGCGGAGAATAGGAGCAGAAACGAGAAGGGACTTGATGCGCTCAAACGCCTCCTGCTGTTCAGTGCCCCATTGCCAAGCACTTGACTTCTTCAGGAGGTTAGTTAGGGGTCTCGCGATTTCTGCGTAATTATTAACAAAACGTCGGTACCAACTCGACGTTTGTAGGAAGCACTTCAATTGCTTAACATTCCGAGGGGCGGCCATGTTGTCAACGGCTGCAGTCTTGTCAGGATCCACCTGGATTCCACCTGGGACGAT